TTTAGCAATTCTCGGTTGCTTGTTATTCCATACGAAGTTGAGAATTTTTCTTTCCAGGTCTGTAAAGAATTGTGTTTGCAATTTGATGGGAATTGCATTAAATCTGTAGATTGCTTTTGATAAGATGGCCATTTTTACTATGTTAATCCTGCCAAACCATGAGCATGGGAGATCTTTCCATCTTCTCATATCTTCTTCTAATTCTTTCTTCAGAGACTTGAAATTTTTTTCATACAAGTCTTTGACTTGCTTGGTTAGGGTTACACCAAGGTACTTTATGTCGTTTGTGGCTATTGTGAAGGGTGCTGTTTCTCTAATTTCTTTCTCAGCCCTTTTGTCTTTTGTATACAGGAGTGCTACTGATGTTTTTGAGTTAATTTTGTAAACGGCCACTTTGCTGAAGATGTTTATCAGCTGTAGGAGTTCCCTGGTAGAGTTTTGGGTGTCTCTCATGTATACTATCACATCTGCAAATAGTGATACTTTGACTCTTCTTTTTGAATCCAGCAAAGATCATTTTAGTGCCAGGAATGTATTTCTTTGGGTTCTCCAAATATTCCATCAAAGTTGCTTCTGACCAGATAATACCTTTGTTCTTGTTTGCATCAGTGTAATAATATCCTGGTGCTTGTCCTGTCTTTCATCCAAAAAGGCCCCAGAGATTTGGACCTATCTTGTGCTTTCCACCTTTTTCCACTGAGTGGCACTGAGCACATTTCTGAACAAAGATCTTCTTGCGTACTTCAGCATCTCCCATTTTTGTTCTTCAATGAGACCTCAAACCACAGACCATAGAAAATATCAGATTTCGAACCACATTCACAGCAGCAGTAGCCTGTGCGGTCCTCGGTCCCCAGAGACCAAAGGTGTTATAGCCGTGCCCGAGGGCTTCTCCCACAGGCCCGACCGAGCACCAGCGGATCCAGTGTCTGATTTTTAATGTGCTATTATGATGTTCTTTACTGGTATTTCTGTTTCTTTCATACTTACCACTATCAGTTCCATATATCCTGCATATATCCTGCCTTTTCCTCTAGAGCTATAACTCCAAACATTTATTTTGGTTTTTTTTTGTTTGTTTGTTTTTTGTTTTTTTTTTTGTTTTTGTTTTTTTTTTAGAAAACATAACTTTCAGAAAAAAGAAATGTCAGTAGAAAGGTCTGAGGTTAAAAATATTTCAGAAAGGTACTTTTGTAGACCTGTGAGAATGTCACTGAGAGCATGAAGTACATTGAACATTTCTGAGAAAAAATTCTAGATAGTGAATTATTTTCTTCTTGTTCAAGGAAGTCTTTTATTTTTACCCACTGCATTAGTATATCAGTGCTTATTTCTTGTTTTTGGCAAAAAGTCTGTCTTTTAGTTCTTGCTTAGTGCTTCTCATTTAAAACTCTGGTCTAGAAAAAACAGGAGATTATAAATTTATATATTAATATATAAAAAAACTCAACATTTACTATCTCTGAAATGGTTTGTATTCTAGGTAATTAAACCAAGGCTCACGAGTACAACTATCTTAATCATGATGAGAGAACTTGCAAGGAGCTTGTTTGAGGCTTTCTGAAGTCAGATACAGTGATAGTTTCATTACATTCTGTGAGAGTATTGTAGTAGGTGAAAAATTATGTTAGATTGGTAGAAGAATAAAAGAAAATGTTGGAAGAATGTCTGGGATTAGTGAAACACAAAATCATTGAATTCACCTTGAAATATGTGTTGATGCTTTACAGTTGAGCATTACATGACAAATTGAGGAATGTGATAATAAAAGATGGGTAATGCTGAAGGTGATGATCCAGGAGTCAGTGTGTTTTGTTTTGTTTTGTTATATGTGTGTTTTGTTGTTTGTTTGTTTTTGTTTGTTTTAGGACTAGTGCAAAAAAGGGGGAGAGTGGTCTGAATGGTGCTTTCTGTTCACTAGCTGAATCCCTCTGAAAGCAGTATTAAGCAGTTAATTTTGAGGTTTCATCAAGACTGAGATAACAGAAAAATTGGAGAAAGAATCCATGATTTCTTTTTTTCAATTAAAGGTCTTACAATGTAGTTTAGGTAATTCTAGAAGCCATGCTTCTATTTCTAGGATTAGGTATTTGGACTGCTAAAATCGACTTAATTCTGTATTATCTTTGTGAGAGTTAAGATACTCATTTATTCTAGTAGAACAATAATAGAGTTATAAAGTTACACTATTAGTGATTGTGGTCCTTTAAATATCTCCTGGGTCTATGTTACAAAAACATATTGTGACACCTTATCATTTAGTGTCTTCAACAGGAAGGCAGATAGCTATTAGAGTTTTCCTGAACATTCTAGATAGAAGACACTACATGGAGTAACATAGACAAAAAAACATAGACCTAAAGTTTGCAAAATGGCAATGGTATGATGTGTGTGTAGACAACCTGTTTAGGGGTGTGTGTGAATTAGTTGCATAGCTTACAGGAGAGCCACTATACTCTTTTCTAATCTCTGCTTTCCTTAGCTAGCTTTTGGATCTTTCCAGAGTTTATTTCAGAAGAATGCCCTAGGGTAAAGGTATGAATTAATCCTTATAGTATGTGTCTACCCACAGATATTGTCAAGAAGAAATGGGAAGTACATTGGCTTGAGAACAGAGTGCCTAAGACCTTTTTCTAAGACCTTGCCTCAAAGTCACTGAAAGCTGTTGCATAAGATCCTGTGACTAGCAAACTTAGTTAACCAGTCACAATGTATCCAAGCAGAGAAATAGCTTCAAGAGAAGACTGTGCTCAGAATGAGAGCCTATCTGTTTAAAATATAGTTCTTGTCTCAGAATCATGTTTGTTTTTTGTTTTTTTTTAAATTAAGCCTGGGAATAAATTGTGTCTTCTGGTAAATTGATTGTAGTGTTTATTACTAGTAAATGATACTTATAGGCTTTTCTAAAAATGGAATGGCTTTGGATGAGTGCAGTGGCCTTGAGCATATTGAACACATCAGTGCTTCAGGAGAAGCATACTACATTAAGCCTTAGAGATGGCTTAGAAAAATGAGACATCAATTTACAACTGAGAAATGAAGATATAAATAATATTTAGGCGATAATCTGTGGATATGTGAATGGAGTGAATATGGCACAGGTGCAAGAGCATCTCTTATGCATACCCATGGCAGTATAGAAATACTTATGTAGATAGCAAAAGTGGAATGATTGCATTCATATTTCAAATATTGTATAGAATTTCTTCCTGTTATCAGTGTTGTAGTATGTCAACTTGTGTCAGCTATGTCGGACTGAAGTGGGACTTTAGTTACTGCAATTATCAGTTTTTAGAAGGTTGAAATAGGTTTACTGAGCTATAATAGGCTATACTGGTTTAATCTGTGTTTGAGACAAACTACTATGGAGTGTCTGTCTGAACTTCAATAACATGAACAAAACTAATCTAGGTAGAAGAGAAACTCTGTAAAAATACAATATCAGTTTCTGATCATCTGTTCTGTTCTGAATGTTTGTGTATCTCTAAACTTTGTGTTTTGACATTTAATCTCCATTGGGGTAACATTGGAATATAGGGACTTTTGGAGTTGATTAGTTAGGCTTGCAATGGGAAAAGTGATTCTGCAAAAGAAATTTTAATAAGTTCTCTAAGTCCTTCTATTATGTGTGGAAACAGAGAGTATCATCTATAATGAATGGATTCTCACCAGATATCAAATAAATACACTTGACCTGTTATATTGGATTTCCTAGCATTCAGAATAATGAACCATGCTGTTTATGAGTTACTAGTCAAAGATGTTTTTCTATAGTAGCACAGACATTGTATCTTTGTGTATGTGTGTGTGTGTGTGTGTGTGTGTGTGTGTGTGTGTGGCGGGGGAGACATCCATGGTGCTGGGAACCGAACTCTTATACATTGTACCATTTTTAACTTGGAAAATATATAGTGAAATTTAATCCATTAACCTGAAAAAAGTATTCAATGAGTAACTTACAAGTAATAGTATACAGGGACAAAACATGGATGACACATTAATCCCAGCCCTCAAAGGCAGGCAGATCTCTGTGTTTGAGGCTAGTCTAGTCTATAGAGAGAGTTCCAGAACAGCTAGGCTGCTCAGAGAGACCCTTTATTTAAAAAAAAAGCTAAATAAATAAATAAACAATAAAATTTACAAATAAAACATGGATGATGCCCACCAAAAGGTCTAGATTTACGTGTGGAGGTAGATAACGAACCAGATACTGCAATCAAAGAAAAGTGGAAAAGTGGTATACAGTATGTGTGTGTATATATATATATGTGTGTGTGTGTGTGTGTGTCTGTGCATATGTATATATATATATATATATATATCAGCTAATTCCAAATTCAGTTACTTAGTCCAAAAATAGTTTGCCTTTCATTAATAAATGGGATTTGATAGCTGCACAGTTGTCCTCCTTGGGATCATCATCCTAGACTGTTCAGTATGGTGGCATCACTACACCAATATGTAAATATTTCATGCTCATCATGGCATGGAGGGTCTATTATTAGACCTTAATTATTCCAGCACCTTACTATTTCTTACTATAACCGGGACTATTTACATTGGCATTCCCTGCTTCCTGTTTTAAGGAAGTGTTGGCACCACCATTCTGTGTTCTAGCTGTGGAAGAGTGTTAAATTTTGCACTATTTTAATCTACCATAGGTAAGGGTAAGCCACTGTGAGAGGCCTGCAAGTGTATATATCTAGGGGTCTTTTACCAGCTTCCTCTAAGTTTTGACATTTGGGAAATCTTGTCATTTTTCAGTGCTATCTAAAATGGTAGAAATTATACATAGACATAACTTATATTGTGAAGTAATAGCACATGTGAGAATTAGGTTTTGTAGGGTGATGCGGGATATGTGACAATGTTATATGTCCCTTCTCAGAAATAGCAAGTTGGATACAGTTCAGAGTACATCTGTATTGCACTCTCTGACCTAAGGAAATAGTTTCATTACACACATTCTCTCCCCCACCCCTTTATTTTATTTCACTCAGATGCAGTGACTGAAGTGAAGACAGATATCTACGTGACCAGTTTTGGCCCTGTGTCAGACACTGACATGGTAAGTACAGTTTCTGAAAAGTGACAAGCAAAAAGGCTCTGCCCTGCAGACTATCAAAGCAGATGCTGAGACTTATGGACAACTGTTGGGCAGTGTGCATGGAATCTAATGAAAGAAGTGGGAAATAGTAAGATCTGGAGAGAACAGGAACTCCACAAGGAGAGCAGCAGAACCAGATCATTTGAACACAGGGGTCTTTCCAGAGACTCATACTCCACCCAAGTACCAGGCATGGAGATAACCTAGAAGCCCTGCACAGATGTGGCCCATGGCAGTTTAGTGTCCAAGTGGGTTACATAGTAATGGGAACAGAGACTGTCTCTGACATAATCTGATTGGCGTGCTCTTTGATCACCTCACCCTGAGAGGGGAGATCAGCCTTACCAGGCCACAGAAGAAGACAATGCAGCCACTCCTGATGTGATCTGATAGACTAAGGTCAGAAGGAAGGCGAGGAAGACCTCCCTTATCAGTGGCCTTGGGGAGGGGCATGTGTGAAGAAGGGGGAGGGAAGGTGGGACTGGGAGGGGAGGAGGGAGAGACTTATGGGGGGATACAAAGTGAATAAAGTATTATTAATGAAATAAAATTTTAAAAGAGTGAAACATGATTGAAATAGGTAAAAAGAAAATAAATTGTCATTTTCCACAGCAGAACTCCAATCTATGTTCTAAAAAGATATTTATTCCCATGAATTCCTTACTAGAATTTTTTTGGACAAATTTGCCTTTTGTGCGCTCTTTATCTGTATCCATAAACTGTACACAAGAGTACCTGTCTCTTCTTCCATATCTTTAAAAATGTGCTTATTTCTGTCTCTGCAATTGACTGTCTCTTCACACTTTCTGGCACCATACCTATTTTTCCAAATTGGCCATTTGAAGATAGCAGTGTGATAGTTACTATTGTTGATCAAGTAACCAGTAATATCATCCAAGAAGGCTGTTCATTGTAATTAGTCTCCATTCACTGAGGACATTAATGGACCAAATATTCCAGAACTTGATCTAAATCACTTTTACATATTGGTTCTTTTATATATTTGAGCAGAGGGAGAGCTACAGCATAGTCCTTATATATAGGGAAGTTTATAAATAATTAGCATGGAGTACAAGAACAGTTAGCTACAAGAATTCTCTCTCCTCCCACCAATCTCTTTTTGTATACAAGAAATCTGATGAAGATTTAAATATCAGATATTGGATTATATACTTAAAAAAACCTAAAGCCATTGTCTACTTTGTGTGTCTGTAATTTAGTAGATGCTCAGTAAAATTTTGTTGAATGGCTTTATATTGAGAATAAATTTTTTTAGTTTGTTTTTTTTTAATTCAAACATTTAATATTTTATTAATAAGCTGTCTTCTGTCACATACATATAAGAATTCAGGTTGCATAAAGACAGTTTGTGTTAAGCATAAATAAATACAGTCTGTTTCTTCTATGATTGGCAAAATTTTCCAAAATGAGAATAATTCCTGTATAGTATGTAAACTCAAGGACTATTAGCAGATGAATAAACTATTAGCAGATAAATAATAAAATTAGCAAAATAAATAAGTGGCATAAATAAATAACAAACGAAAACTTATATGCACAGATTGATTTGCATAAACATACAGTTGAATGATTTGTAAGGCATGTATAATGATATATAAAAAAGATGATATAGAGAATCAGGATAACTCCATTTTCACAAGCAGCAAAAGAGGGTTGGACCTAAGGGTTCTGAGAAATGAAGACATTTTATTCAAATAATAAAAACTTTTAATTTTGCTGGAAGAACATTTTTGAGACTGCCTACATCTATGTTTCACTGGCTGGACTGGAACTCACCATGTACATCAGGCTGATGTACTCGTGATAATCCTCATTCTTATGCTTAAAGTTAAATAACATGATCAGGAATGGAATGGAAATCTTAATATTTATCAAAATATGTTAAAATCAATGTTACTCATCTACCTTACAATATTTCGTGTATGTCTGTTTTTAGTATGGCATGCCTAACCCATTATTGTGGTTGCTAAGGATCTAAACTCATGTCTCCCTGCACAAGTATTTTACTAAACTCTCTCAGGACTAAGAAAATTTACCTCTAAAATGAAATTTTAACGTGCATTTTACTGTTAAAACATACATACACACCACATTTCTCCATAGCCTCTTATTCATCACCATCCACAAATAAATTCAGACAAATGTACACATATACACCAAACACACATAGAATGCACACGGCTGATACACTATCTTAAAGAGCCTATAGACATACACATGCAAACAAGTATCTGAATGCAGAGATACCAGTGAAGCACATACATAGTCTCTTTACCTGGCTCGTTGTTTCTTTTTTCAAGTCTAGTTACTTCACTTTGTTTGTTTATATTTTTTCAACAGGATTAAGTTAAAGCAATAGAATGAATGGATCTTTTCTAGTCAAGAGGAAATGCTTGGTTCAGATAAATTCAGTGTTCCTTTAGTAGCACTCCCATCTCTTTTTAAGACTTCTTAAAGGCTTAAGGTTCATCTGAGTAAGAAATACATTGCTGTTGCTTTTTGAAGGTTTCTTCTGTGTGATTGGTAGTGTATAACAGTTAATCCTAAACAGTCTGATTTTGGTGATGAGTTACAAAAAGAACTGAAGTATGCCTGACAACAGATTACATGAAAAGAAAATTAAGTTTAATTTGGAATGCAAGAAATGACTTGGGGAAGGCGGGGCAAGATGGCGGCACCAGGATGACTCTCATTCTGAGGAGCAGCACAGCAGGATTGGCACAGTGACCAGCAATCAGAACTCGCGGCCATAAAACACAAGTGATTGTGTTTCACAGGTGAGAGGATACCCCAAGGTGGGGGATTCAATCAGCTTTAACTCACCCGGCTAAACCATGGAAGAGATCCCGGTTCCACCAGGCGCTTGGTCGCCAGCCCAGAGCTACCCGCCAGAGTGGTCTGGTCACTGTCCCAGACTGAACTGTGGGCCCACAACACCATAGACTGGATTTCCCAGTCGAGAGATAACCCCACGGAGCAGGAAACAATTGGGACCGACCTCAGGTTACCCAGACATCCGGTTCCGGGGGTGCCCCAAGAGCCAGTCCGGACCCAGAGCCCAGACACAGGCTCCTGCCTGAGCGCCTGATTCACCGCCTCAGATAGAACTGTGGGCACCAGGGCACCAGGGCACCAGACTGCATGTCTCTGGCAGGAGGAAACCCCCAGCGGAGGGGGTCAGCAGCTCTAATGCTTAGGACACCCAGCACCAAAACACTTCCTGGACTCACACAGACTCTAGTGCAGGCAGGAGCGCTGTGCTCTGCCGCCATTATTGAGTTCCCCTAGGGCACTGAGACACACAGCTGCATCCTCAGACCTACAAAAGCCAGAGAGCCATTGCAGCAGCCCTCAGATACTGTGCCAAGGATCAACCAGTTATTCCTAGCTAGACTGTCAAAACTGTGGGAATCCCTGGTCCTTCAAGAGGGCTGCACCCACAGTGTCTGAACCTGAGCAATGCCTGCAGCCGCCATCCCAGACAGAGACACACAGCCTCTGGTCCAGAGTGAGGCACCCAACCTCCAGACCAGAGCAGTGCCCCCAGGGGCCAACTCAACCTAGGTGCATATTCTCCAGGTCCAGAGCAGAGCAATCAGCCTCTGGCCCAGAGACTTGCTGAGTGCACCTCCCACTTTCCTGGTCAGAACTGTGCGCCCCAGGATAACAGACTGAGTTTCCCTGTTGGGAGAAAACCCCACAGCTAGGGAATTAGCAGTTTCTTCAAGAGGACTGTACATGGAAATTTAGTGAGCAGCAGCACACTAAATTTATAATAAGAAACCCAGCAGTGGGGCAGCTGTCTTGAGAAATTCTATGGGTAAGAGGAGATCCCCCCTGCCTAACATAGACCACAGCTACTACTCAGGGCTATAAACCTGAGGTGAGCAGTGGCAACTCCTGAGAAACACTGGCCATACAGTGACCATAACCAAAAAGCAGAGAAGGACTCCTTCAGAAAAAAATCATCTCCCGGCCAAGGGGATACTCCCTACCTCAAGACTCCAGGAAGCACAGAAACTAATAGCCAACACCTAAATCAGCCCAATGGGTAGAGGTCAGCGTAAAGGCTCAACCAAAAAAAGACAGAGCAATATGGCATCTCCAGAACCCAGCCATCCAGGGGCGAACAGCCCTGAACAATGCAGCATAATAGAAAATCAAGAAGATGACCTTACATCTATGTTGATGAAGAGAATAATAGAGGAAACAAATAAAATACGTAAAGAATTAGAGGAAGATAAAACCAAACAGATCATGGCTATCCGTAAAGAAATGGAGGAAGATAAAGACAAGCAGATTAGGGCCATTCGTGAAGAAATACGGGCAGACGCAGCCAAACATCGTGTGGCCTTCAGAGAAGAAATAATTAAATCACTGAAAGAAATCAAAGAGACAGAGTTGAAGGAACTAAAAGAAAAAGAGGAAAATACAAGCAGACAGGTGAAGGAAGTAAACAAAACAACTCAAGACCTGAAGATAGAACTAGAAAAATTAAAGAAAACACAAATGGAGGAAATAATGGAGAGGAAGAATTTAGGGAAGAAAACAGGAACTACAGAGGTAAGCATAACCAACAGAATACAAGAAATGGAAGAAAGAATCTCAGGTGTAGAAGATACAATGGAAGAAATCGATGTATCTGTGAAAGAAAATGTTAAATCCAAAAAATTCCTGACACAGACCGTCCAAGAAATCCAAGACAATATGAAAAGACAAAACCTAAGAATAATAGGAATAGAGGAAAAAGAAGACTCCCTTCTCCAAGGCCCAGAAAATATTTTCAACAAAATCATTGAAGAAAATTTCCCCAAGTTAAAGGAGAAGCCAATAAGAATACATGAGGCCTACAGAACACCCAACAAATTTGACCAGAAAAGAAAATCCTCCCGCCACATAATAATCAAAACAGGAAGTATACAGAACAAAGAAAAAATACT